GTGTGTGTGTGTGTGTGTGGTGTGGTGTGTGTGTATGTGTGTGTGGTGGTGTTGGTGTGTGTGTGTGTGTGTGTGTGTGTGTGTGTGTGTGTGGTGTGTGGTGTGTGTATATGTGTGTGTGGTGTTACTAGTGTTCAAAGTAAGTTGACCAAACATTTCAGGGGCCACAGAGGCGTGAAATGGGAGAGACTTGCCATGCTCTCAAGGCAAGCTGAATGAAGATCGTGGGTCCCTAGTGATGAAGCCTACCTCATTTTCTGAACCGTCCAGCAGGCCAGGTTATTTATGGGTCTTGAGGAGGTATCACTTGAAAATAATGGGGGGCGAAAGGGAAAGGGAACCAAGCGCGTAAAGAAAGACAAAGTCAGTCTGAGATGCGTCAAGGCTCCGTTTATTGCTGGCACAGTTTCATTTTTATAAGGCAGTTTTTGCAGGGAGGGGGTGAGGGCAGAGCGGAATGGAAAACTACCAAGCCCCAGGCGCCCAGGTCAAAGAGGAAGTAACTGTTTTGCTTCTATAATCTATATGGTACATCTTGTGGTCAAACTGCTGTGAAAACTATGCCACAGCTGTCTGTGCTTCTCTGCAGCGGACTGTTTATGTAACAGAGGTGTGAAAATATGAAGGAGGTGTGAAAAGTTGGCCAGCTCCTCTGGCCTGGGGGTCTCTTGGTCCCTCACAATTTTCTGGTTAGAGAGTGAACCATGGCTCAAGATTATGAGGTGGCAGCCAAGACATGCTGCACATTCTACCCCTACCCCAAATCTAGCTCAGGCCTTTTCAAATAGTTTGAATCTTGCCTTCCTAAGAAGGAATCCAGTACCCATGCCTTGTGGCATTTCGTAATGTGGCCCCTGCCCCCACATACTCCCATCCTATCACACGCTCACGTCCTCTCCGAGGGGCAAAGTCATAGATAAAGACTGTATTTTATGGTTCCTGATTGATTCAGCTTAATAAGCCCCACTTTATGGAAACAGTGTGTTTCTAATTAGCTGAGGAGATAAGGATGGCTAACTGCAATAGGTTATGAGCCAAGAGGCCAGACTTCGAAGTTATGGCCTGTGTTACATGCTGGTCTGGACGCTGCTAAACAGAACGGCAGCAAACTGAGGCCACTGTCATTCATCCACGGAGAATGGAGCATGGCCTCTATCTACCAAACACCACAACTCTGACTTCCTGTCCCCAAGGCAGTGTCTCGGAGAGAAGGCTTGCATATAGCAGAGCTTCTTGGATGTACATCATAGGGTGAAGGGGCCAAGGAAAGAACACCCTGACGCTGACTAGAGCCCAAGACCAGGGCCAAGGAAAAGAATACTATCATTCCTTGAGAACAAAACCCCACCAATCCCTCAGCTTGCCCCAGGATCAGGCCACAGAATCCTATTAATCCCAGGCCACCAGGTAGGAAAGCTCTACCTCCTCAGAAACCCTATATAAAACCTGTTCAGCTCACCCCTGCTTCTTGCCCCAGCAGAGGAAGCCACCCTTTGGAGTCTTTCCGAATAAATCCCTTGTGTGAGGTTTGTTGTGAGGTGTGACTTTGTGGTGTTCTTTGGCTCCAGACTGGCAGAATGCCTTCCTCTCAGAGCTGTAACACTCATAGATACCCTCTTGGCTCAAAGAACAGTAGAGATGACACACAGAAAAAACCAAGAGGCATATCTGTGTGGTAGTGGCACATGCCCTTAATCTCAGGAGGCAGAGGCAGGCGAATCTTGATGAGTTCAATGTCTGCCTGGTCTATAGAGTAAATCCTAGGACAGGTTGCAAAGCTACACAGAGAAACGCTGTCTCGAAAAAACTAAAAAAAGAAAAAAACCCGACCTAGAGACTTCACTCTCTTTGATGTGTGTCAGATAGGTTCCCACCTGCTCCACCAAGGGATCTCAGTTCATTGTCACTCTTGGGACCAGAAATGACATTCTCCCTGACATCCCAGATAAAGACACTTCTCAGGAGACAGTAACTATGGTCTGGCTCCTGGGAGCAGTCCTGAGAGGGACCCAAGCAGCCTGTTCTTCAGGTGAGTGTGCTGTTCTTGGTTATACAACTCCGGCTCCCCAGAACTCTCTTCTCCCTGAGCCTCGCAGTTGCACTGCACGGAGCCCAGTTGTGCGGCTAGTTTTAATTACCAAAACAGCACAACCTAGAATCTCCTGGGAAGAGAGTTTTAAGGAGGAATTATCAATATCAGATGGGGCTCTGGGTGTGTCCACGAGAGGCGCTGTCCTGTGGGGGTGCTGTCATCTGTGAGGGACGCTGTCTGTGAGGGGTTCTTCCCTCTGAGAGACCAGGCAGCACTTCGTGTACAGCATTTGCTTCCTGATGAGACCCTGGAATGCTCGAGACCTCAGGCGCAGGGGGTTCTGAGGGATGGAGTGGGGAAAGAAAAAGAGGGCAGAGTATTGGTGACCCAGCCCAGCCAGAGCAAACTGCAAAGACAGTAGAATAGTACTCCATTCAGGGTCTTGACCTGACCCAATCCTTTGACATAGGTAGGAGCCCAGATCCTCCAGGGCAGGCAGAACGAACCTAACATAAAGGTGTGGCTTCTGGCAGGTGGAGGGAGTCACTGATGACAGAGTTACATTGGTGTAAACATCCCACCTAGTTACCTGTTGTCCAAATGGTCACTAAGTACTGCTAAGCCAGAGGAAGTCCCTAGCTGAGACCTCATTGCTTTCTTACTTCCCTTCCTTCTTGGTGACATTTTTATCTGGTGTCTTGGAGAGGCACTGGCCACAGTGGGCAAAGGAGAAGCACCCCGGGTCCTGTCTGATCACCTCCATATCTGGCAATCATTGGTTGCACACAACGGAAGTGAGGGGCTCTGGAAGGTTCCTCTGATCTTGGAAACTTAGCTCTCTGTTCCCCATGATATTAGACATGCTGGTATTCCATCCCTGGGAGGCCATGGCTGCTATCAAGCAAGATGAAATTAGGGTTTAGGCCCTGGGATGGAGCCTCCCTATTCCTCTTTTTTGCTTCAGCCCCCACTCTTTCCCTTTATTTCCTGACTTCTGCTCTCTAGTCACCCTCAATGATGGTCCCCCTGTTACTTCGGTGAGGATAGGCTCCAATGAATCATTAGGGGAAGCAGGGAGGACCCAGCAGTGTGGAGCAACAGGCCCTGCCAGGTTTGCAACATGGAAGTTCAAGCTGGCTCGTGTGATAAGACAAGAATAGGACTGGAGCCACTTCAGGGGGCCATGTTTGGCTTTGCCCTTTTCTGAAATCACCTGGGATGCCTTGGAGGCATAGGGGTTTGTTCTTAGAAGTCCCGCATCTGCTCCTGACTGATGGAAAGGAAGTCTAAGAGAGAGTCTTGCCAACAACTCTCTGATTACACCGTGTAAGGGTTCAGAAGAACATTTGGCTCCCCAGCATGAGGACCTCTTGACTCAGACAATCTGGGTTTACATCCTAGTTCTGTTGTGTGACCATCACACAGTGATTCGGGTGATCTATGCCTCAGTGTCCTCAAAAGCTTCGAGTCTCCCATGGGCGGCTGTGTGGCTTATGCAAGTTATAGGTGAAACACAGCAGCTGAAGGTCGGACTTGGAGAAGTCCTCAGAGTCTTTAAGATAATTTATTTAGCACCTACTGTGTTTCTTTCCTGCTAGGCAACAATGGATGGGAATACAGCTTCTTTTCAAACAAAGAAAGTGAGAGTGCAGTGTAGGGAGTCTCCTGCTGAGCATTGATACCAAGAGGCATGAGGAAGAGTCATACCTCACCCTGGACAGACAGACATCCAGGGACAGGAGAGGGAACCCAGGAGTCCCTGCCACTGTCCATCATTGACTAAGCTCAAAACTAAGAAGGATCCTACTACACCAGCCAATTCAAGCCCTTGGAGGCCAGGTGGGAAGTCTGGAACTTTCCAGGGGAAAGACTGCTAGAAAGTACAGAGAGGGCTAAGACACGCGGCCTCTGGACTGAAACCTCCACGTATGGGGGGGATCCAATAGAGCGCTCCAAAGTACAGGAGACACAACACAGTCCTTCCCAAGAAGGAAATCATGCCTACTGCCTCCCCGCAAGTAGTCCCTGTGCCAGGCAGAGTGAGGATAGTCATATACCGAGATAAGCAAAAGGAGAGGGAGGGTGGCCTTTCACCATCACAGGTGAGGGAGGTGGCTTCTGTACCTGGGCATGAAGTGGTTACGTACACTGTGGGAGGAGGCCATGGGGGCAGATCCAGAGTTGGCCAGCTGGGCACAGGAGAGCAGGCCAAGTGGGAGCCCTGGGGTAAAGGCCACCCGCAGTAGCCACCTATCTGTCTGTCTTCCAGACATCTTCTTATCAGCACTGACGCAGACACGGGACGCTTATCTACACATTCTTTCTGAACCACCCTTGACTCTCAGAAACTGAAAGGCAGGCAAGGCTTGGAGCAATTATACTCTAGAAGGTGTTAGTTTTGCTCATTAACGGCAGATCCTCTGGGGGGGGGGGGACTTGAATAAGGATAAAGAAAATGCCATCCATGTGCATGCAATGTTTTCAGCCGTATAGACCAACTGGGAATGCTGTCTGCAGGAAAGCAGACACAAGTGGAGATCACCAGACTCAGCAAATTAAGTCCGTATCAGACAGGTCTCACCTTTTCTCTCATTTATTGGTCCTAATCTTTATAGACACACGAAATGATAAATGTACAAATGGCAAGAAAGTGAAAGCTTTGAGGAGCAAAGAGGACTAATGGGAGCGGCAGGGGTGAGAGGTAGAGACACAAAGGACAGAGCCTGCTGTTTCATGAATGCCTTAAGAAACCTTGGGGACTAAAATCATGAAACATTAGCTCAAGCATTTGATCACTTGCAGATGAACAGTTTGACGTTTTTGCTAGCAATTCATGCCAGTCGTGCATCTGAATCACAAGTATGAGCTCTCTGTCTACAAAGCTATGGAAACATCTATTTCTTCAGTACGAAGGCATCACTTACTTATCCTGTTCATTATGTGGTTTGCAGACAGTCTTTTCTGGTTAAAATCTCTCTAACAAGCACACAACAAATCCTGCTGGTTCTCTATTCTGTCCAATGCTTGGAGGAGCCTCCCTCGTGCTCTTGCTTTTCACCCTGTAAAGTACAAAGGATCACAAGGCACACACACACACACACACACACACACACACACACATACACACACACATACACATGCAACACACACATACATACATCATAGCCTGTCTTCTTTTTAAGCTAGAGAGAAAAATACTTAGTAGACTTCTAATTTCTTATTTGATCAGTCAGTTCATGCCAACCATTCAAACTGATTGTATAAATCTTTATAAAAGGTCTTAATTTATACATAAGAACAGAGAGCCAAAAATAAAGAAGCTTCCATGTCATGATCTCACTGGTTTCTGAGAGGATCACGTAATTCCTACTCGGTCCAGAATGTTACTCCTGAGTACACCTCAGGTGTTGGCTCCCCTCCACCTCTTGCATAATTGCTGTGTGTAATTTTACAGTTATGTTTTTATGGTTCCAGTAACAGTGGTTATTAAATGGCCACATTTTCCGTATCCACGTGCTGTCCATGGTCAGTACAAATTGTGCCCTTGATGTGGGGCTGGATTTTTACTTAAGAGTCAAGTGCGAGTTGATTGTTACTGAAGCAAGTGGATATTGTATTCAAAGCCGGGCTGCTTCCCAGAGATTTCAACAGAGATGACTGTAGAAATTCTTTCCTCATGTGGGTCCAGACGAGTAACAAACAGCAGGGACAGCTGCAAGAGACAGGACGTTATGTGGACAGGAAATGTTCGTTAGTGGTAGTAAGAGATTGCTATGAAGCAAAAGTGAAATGATGGGGCCCTATAAGAGCTCCATGGGGAAAGGGACATTCAAAGCTTTTCTTTTGACTCATGGTCTCACTGGGTAGTCCTGGTTGACCTAGAACTCACCACGCAGGCCAGGCTCTGATGCATACTTGGCATCTCATGAGGAAGGTCGTGAGAACTGGGTGTATTAAATACCAGTAATGACCGAGCGAGGGCCGTGGTTCCTACCTTAGGCACCTTCACTGATCTGAGTTGGAGCTCTCACTCTCCTTTGCTCTGGTTTTTTGTTTGTTTTCTTGCTTGCTTTCAAGTGTGTACATGGATGTTTTGCATGTGTGCATATCTGTGCACCACATGTATACCTGGTCTCTCGGAGGTCAGAAGAAGGCATTTGTCCCTCGGAACTGCAGTTCCAGCTAGTTGTGAGCCACCGTATGATCGCTGAGAATCTAACCCCAGTCCTCTGGGAGAGCAACAAGCTTGTTAACTACTGGGTCCTATCTCCAGCCTCTCTTAATATATTGCCCAAGCTATAAAGAATTTGGGACCATATGAACAGTTGGAAAGACTGTAAAAGTCTGAGAAGTTGTGCAATCAGATAACTTGCTAGTTACCTCTATGCCTAAAATTGAAAAATTCACCATGTTTCTTTTTCATTAAGGGACGGAATGTGATGGCCAGTTAGTAAAGGGGATGAGTATCTGAGTTTGATCCCCAGAACCACATATAAAAAGCCTGGTGGTGTGAGCCTGAAATCTCAGCACTAGAAGGCACACCTCAGGGGATCACTGAGGATTACCGACGAGACAGCCTACATGACTTGATGAATTCCAGACCTGTGAGATGGCAGCTATTCAGGGATCTCTGCAGAAGAGAGGTGGGTAGGTGTGAGAGTCAAAGGAGACAGATGACCACAGGAAGCAGCCTATCCTCCACAGCAGGACAGCTACACATAATGAACTCACAGTGCCCGCGGCACTGTTCACCAGGCCTGCGCGAGCCTGAACCAGGTAGAATCCCAACACAGAGGAGGGAGGTGGGCAAGAAGTTCCACCCCTAGCTGAGGAGCTACTGGCAATTTTTAGCTGCTGGGAGATGAAGGGTCAGTTTTCTCTAACACTGTAGCCCTTGGTAAGTCAGCCATACTCCAGTGGAAGACCACACATGCAAGAATGTTGGGAAAGTACAAATTGGCTTTGATGTGGGTGGGAAGGACTCAGTATTGGGTGGGGCAGAAAGAGGTGGGTCTGGGAAGAGTTGGAGAAGGAAGCTGAATATGATCAAAATACATTGGACCAAATCCTTGAAGAACTAACTAGATATAAAAGAAGAAAGGAAGAAGGAAGAGAACAGGTAGATGGAGCCTAAGGAATGATACTTGAGATTTCTTTCTGGCCTCCACATACATGCACACATACACACATGTACACATACAAATGCACACACACACACACACACACACACAAGCAAAGTGCTGTAACTTCAGGTATGATGATTTGGGCAGTGTAATAAATACATCAATTAAGGTGTTTCAATAACAAATACAAACCTACATCAGAGAGCTCTGTGTTGCTGCCTTGTGCAGAGAGTGTAAACAGTGAGACTCACCCTCATCTGCTGAGGCTAAGCCTCGTGGAGCCTGCATGGAAATGCATGTCAACACAGACCCACAGACATGTCTAGCATACATACAGACTTTACACAAAGGAACAAAAAGCAAGGAAATGAGAAATTCTCCACGGCTTTTAAATCCATCTTTAGTAAATACAAAGATGTTTTTTTTCTGATAGGATTTAAGGTTGAGGACTTTCATAATTTCTATTATTACAATTTTTTTCTTTTAACTATAAAAAGAGCTGATTCCCCATTCCCAGGTTGACATCTTCATAGAAGTGGTCAGTATTTAAGGCCAGCCTAGGATACATAGTTAGTTCCAGACCTTGAAATACAGCATGAGGCCTTGCCTATGCAAAAAGAAATCAATCAATCACTCAATCAGCCAATCAATACGTGGGGAAATGATGTTGTTCGGGCCTATTCTCGGTGGTTCTCATGAGAGTAGAAAGGTTGATTGGTTGGCAGTTCAAAGCCAGTGTCGCCATTTATCTTTCAACTGTTGGAAGATAGAATATTGACCAAAAATCACTGCCAATCACATATTAATAAATGAACTGTTTTATTTTATAACACAATAGCTAGTTAACATGGTTAAGTTTAGACAGTAGAAGCATGTTGGGGCACAAAAATATCCTTCATAGCAGTGGATGGGCTTTGTCCAAGGTTCTGAACTAGTCTTCCAAACATTTCCATGACTGGAAAACCATCAGATGTCTGAAACTGTTCCTTTAAAAGGATAATACAGGCAGGGAACACCTTTAATCCCAGCACTCGGAGACAGAGGAAGGCAGATCTCTGCGAGCTGAAGGCTAGCCTGGTCTACAAAGCAAGTTCCAGGCCAGCCAAGGCTGCACAGTGAGACACTGTCTCAAAAAACAAAACATCTAAAAAACGACAATCCAGGTAGAATGAAAACAAATAGTACTTTTTAATGTGATCATGGAGTGCTGGAGAGATGGCTCAGTACATAAGAGCATTTGCTGTTCTTACAAAGGGCCTACGTTTGGTTCCCAGCATTCACATGAGTGCTCACAAGCATCTCCAGTCCTACGGGATCTGATGCCCTCTTCTGACCTCCACGGCTACCATATGGCACACATACACATGCACAAGCAAAATATTCACATGCACAAAATAAAGTAATCTAAAAGAACATTTAAAGTCATCCAATGAAGGGAACCGAGAATTGCGCTAACTTTCAGTCACAATCTGGGGACACTAGTATTTTCCTTGGTGTGGTCCCCTGTCAGGGAAGAGAGGCAGTCTCATTAGTGGGCTGGTGTTGGAAGATGACTCCAATTGTTCAGAACCGCTGCAGCTCAGGCTTCCTACTCAGGGTCCTGTCTTCCCGATCACCCACCCACCCTGCCTAGTGGAAGCTGAGTATCAACTGTGCTTGTGAAACCATTAATGTCTGTGTCCTCTGTGGTCACCTCATATTATAGGCTATGCTGTTTAATGCTTTACTTAGGATACTCTCCTCCACTAATCTCAGTTCCCTGGAAAACATTTTCTTTAACCTGCTTCTGTCTTGGCACGTAGCTCATTCTCCCCTCAGGAGGGATAAATGCCCATCTTCTAGCCCCCTTCCTCTTACATGCTGTCCCCATGGTCTTCAAATTCAGATCTACTAGATTTTACTGACCTCTTTTCAGAAAAATAAGCAAATCCCCTCTCCATTTCTAGAAAATGGCATTGAAATGACCTCCCCCACATCCTACAGCTAATAAAGCATTTCCTGTGGCGTGTTGGCCTGTCCACATTTGCCCACAGTCTCTTTCGCTGTATCTTGAGCTCTGGTCAGCACTTTCAGTAATCACTTCTATTTTTATGTACTAACAGACCTTCCGCACAAGTGTTGAAATGTACCCCGATGCTCAAAACCTGACTATCTACAGAAACACAACTGTCCCTCCAGTGAGACACTTTCACTTCTCCCTTCAGAAGCTCGTTTCTCAGGACAGCTGTTCACCTATGCCCCTGCCTGTGGTTCCTACCAGTCACTCCCTCCTGCACAGTCACCCTTGCCACAAAGAGGCCACCACCCTGCACAGGGATAGCAGCAGTATCTGTTCTGAGATGCTTCATGAAAGCGTCTCCCTCCTTCTCCCGCTGGCTGCTGGCGGACAGACACTCCCATCCCTTCCAGGACCTGTACAGTTGTGGCAGGAGTCTCCCCACCCCTCACCGTGAAGCTTTACTTCTGGGTTTCCAGGCTGGGTTTCCTTTTCCTTCATGCCTCATGCTTTGAAGCTCTTTCCTGACCTGTTCTTCACTTGGTTCTCTGGTTTACATGCTCCACCAGCATGCTTCCTTTGGTGAGTTATATCATCAAACCTAAAATCAAGCCAGTTTCCTCCCCAACATGAGCTGCTGCAGAGACCCTAACAGTGTCCCCCACCCCAGGTGTGAAAGAGAAGCAATGTCTCTTTTTCCAATTATCACTGAGATTTTTTTTTAATGTAAAGTTTATCATTCTGTTGTCTGTCTGCTATCCTTTGGTGATCATTTAGACAGATTTAAAAATTCTGTGGACTTTGAACCTGTACGATCCAACTTGGTCCTTCTCCAAACTGTTCTGTGGGCTTGCCCCGTTCCCCCATGCCTTCTTCTGTCCTCAGTGTCTGTCCTCTGCCTGGGGCTCCTCCCAGTCTTCTCAGTCCGCAGTGGAAATTGAAACCCAGTGTGAACCTCACTGTTCTAAGACCACGTACTGACTGCTTTTCTATGACCCAGCACCAGCTTGCTTGATTGTTTCCACAAAATCAAGTCAAAAGTTTCTTTGTGCTTTTGTTGTTGTTGTTAATGCATTTCTCTCCTCTTCCAGTCCGGAGCATCCATCAGGGAACTGTCTTCCTCCCCTGGTCTTTCTTGTATGTGTCAGACTGTAACTCAGACCTGGTTTAAAGGATTAAAAATATATGCAGGGTAAATGAATAGAGTACTGGGCAAGACTAATGGAGATCTCCTAAGTATAATCTGAATTAAGAAACTAAGAAAGTAGGCAAAGTTGTGAACCCCAAGACATGAAGTTTCATAAATCTTCCATTCACCCATCTTTTTCTTTGTTTCTTTCCTTTCTAGGTTGTCATTAATTAAATTAACACCTTAAAATTTTAAGTCATATAAAAAAGAAATGCTTGGCACTGCAGGCGATCTTGCTTGTTCTTTCTCACCATGAGGAGATTTCAAACTTTTGTCTCTTTTCATTTGTTCTTTGGACAACGTTTGATTAACACCAGACTTTGTGTCTAAAAGGCCCGTCTAATAGGGCCTTAGAGAAACTTCTGTACCCAAGTTACACGAGTGAGAAACAAATCCTAATGCAGAGCCTAGAAGCACCGGGTATGTGCAGGGTTCCCTACTGGGTGAGGACACCGCCTTTCACTTTCGCTCTGTAGACCCCACACCTGAGTCTCATGACTTTTCTAACTGCCTCTTTGAAGTCCTTGTTCCTCAGGCTGTAGATAACTGGGTTCAGCAGCGGAGTGATCACGGTGTAGAAGACGGAAATGACCTTGTTGGTCTCTGGTGACAAATGTGCGTTTGGGCGCACGTACATGGAGATCATGGTCCCGTAGTAGATGGTGACCACGGCCAGGTGCGAGCCGCAAGTAGAAAACGTCTTCAGCCTGCCGGAAGTGGAAGGGATTCTCAGAATGGAGGACACTATGAAAACGTAGGACATGAGGGTTAGAAGGAAACAGATGCACAGCACAGCGATAGACAGGACAAAGATGGCCATCTCCGTCACATAGACACTGGAGCACGACAGCTGCATCAACGGAGGGAGGTCGCAGAAGAAATGGTTGATGCGGTTGGGCCCACAGAAGTCCAGTTTAGAAATCATCAGCGAAGGCAGGAATCCCGTGCCCACCCCTGTCACCCAGGAGACTGTGACCAGGGCAGCGCAGTTGTCAGGACTCATGAGCGCGGAGTAGTGGAGCGGGCTGCAGATGGCCAGGTACCGGTCATAAGCCATGGCGGCAAGGAGGAAACACTCAGTTGCACCGAAAAACACGAAGAAGTAGAGCTGCGCCATGCAGGCAGGGAAGGACAGCGTGTGGCCCCAGGACGCCAGGTTGGCCAGCAGCAGGGGCACCGTGGTGGACGTGTACCAGATCTCCAGGAAGGACAGATGTTGGAGGAACGTGTACATGGGAGAGCGCAGGCGCGGGTCTTCGCTCACCACTGCGATGATCACCATGTTGCCTGTGATGGTGAGGAGATAGAAGCACAAAAAAATGGCGAAGAGGAGGGACTGCCACTCAAGAAGGTTCTGGAATCCTAAGAGCTGAAATTCAGTGACCTTGGACAGGTTTTGGTGTTCCATTTCCTGTGAAGGCAGAACACATGTTGAAATATATAGACTACACAAGGCATAAAGCATTTTCAGCTTTTGGTATCTAGAATGCCAGAGGTTAGTCTTTTAGTAGTTTGAAGCTATCGTATGGTGTGTTGGTTGCTTGTCAGACAAAATGCAACTTCTGGGAGAAAGGGTTTATGTGGGCTCACAGTTTGCAAGTAGGAGGGTAGAGTCAGGAGGGCATGGTAGGGAGAGCAGGGTGGGGAGGAAGTGGTGGGGAAGGCATGGTGGGAAGAGCAGGGTGGAGAGGGCAGGGTGGGGAGGGCAGGGTGGGGAGAGCAGGGTGGGGAGGGCATGGCAGTAGGAGCATGAGGCAGCATTGTATCCACAGTGAGTAAGGAGAGGCGAGTAGGCACCAAGCTTACTGTTAAGCTTTCTCCTTTTCATTTATCCAAGACTCCAGATCGGGGGGGGGGGGGGTCCTCTCATCTAAATGACCTAATCTAGACGCTCCCGCCTAGACACACCCATAGGCTTGTCTGTTTGCTGATCTAGATATCAAGTTGACAATATCACATGTAGGTTTTCAGAGGGACAAATATGTTAATTCCAACTTTCCTCTACATAAACGCTTTGTTTATTTGGTGTTTTGTTTTTTTTTTAATTTGGTACAGGGTCTCACTAGGTAGTACAGGCTGCCCTGAAATTCATCATCTGCCTGCCTCAGCCAGTCAAGCACTGAGATCACAGATGCTCACCGCCACACCCAACTTGTACCCACGTTTACAGTAACAAGCTGAAAATAGATGTCAAATCCTAGGAAGAGATCAAGTTCTGTTTCTTTGCAGTTTGTGAAATCCTGAAGGCTCAGATCCAAAGGCACAAGGGAATGGCATGCGTAGTAGGACACACACACACACACACACACACACACACACACACACACACTCACACTCACACATGGACAGAAAGAGGCAAGCTGCCCGAGTCGATAGGGGAGGTGAGCAGGATCAGAGTTCTGGTTTGTGACAGCACATCAAAAACAAATTCTCATCCCTTGAATGCACACATTTGTGTCTGACATCAATAACGTTGAAAAAATCTCAGAAACTGACAAAACAGCAAAACTTTATTAAAATCATGAACACGTGGAAGAAAATGCTTTTCTTGTCTGAAGAGGAAAGAGGACACACTCTCTGAGCTCTGGGAAAGTTTATTCAACTTTCCTTAAACAACATTTTACTGACAGTCTTCTGTGAATGCATGTGTGCTTGACGATGTGTGCATGTGTGTATGTGTGAGCATGTGGGTGTGTGTGAGTGTGTAAATGTATGAGTGGATGTACGTGTGTGAGTGTATAAGTAGCTCAGTGATCAATTAATCTCTTTCCCACTCCCACAAAGACCCTTCTTACCTATTAGGTAACACAGCCCACCACAGAGAAGGGTCTTGAATTTATGTTTTCCAAACACTGCTTATGTTCCTTTGTTTTCTTCTGGAAGAAGTGGCCTCTTCTGGCTGAACTTACTCCTCAGCTTCCTTTATCCACAGGGCTTTTCTGCCATCTCTGCTCCTCTAGGGCCCTGCCATGTCTCTCCTGCCCTCCCCAATCTGTCCTCATTCCTAATCCTCTTCATCTGGCATTAGCATCTCACAGCTTGGTGACCTCTCCCTCTTCCTGCCCGCTGGCCACTCAGCACCTAACTGCTGCTCCCAGACCAGCCTCCACACTGACATTTACATAGCCTCTCAGTCAGCTTGTCTCTCTGTTTCTTGCCTCCTTCTATCTACTAATTTGTGGGTTCTGGGGATAGAAGCCAGAGGCCCCTTCTTCTTCTTCACTCTAAATCCTGTCTTGGCTCTTCACTCTCAGGTCCATGCATGAAGCTAAACGCAAGGTTACCTTTGACCATAGCTGTGTTTGGAACATATGCTCACATGTCTGGTCAGAGTTAGCATCCCAGTGGAGTCTCCACATGACCTGACTCACCTGTGCACATGGCTCCCTCAGTGCGCATTGTCTTCCACCTCACCGAGGAGTATCTCACCTCCCTCTGTCCTCTCATTCAGGGCAGGATTTGTGACTTGGTGTGTCTCAGACTCAGTACTAGATCAGTCAGCTCCAGATGCAAATATTCCCCTTTCTCGCAACCCATTGTTCTACAACGCTTGTCCTATAAAGAAAGTGCTACCGTCTCCCTCGTACATCTCTGCAAGGCTTCTTCTGCAGCCCTCCATGTCCAATCCACAGCACCCAAAAAGGCAGCGAAGCTAAAATTTCAAGCCACAGGCAGATCATGCTGAGAGCATAAACATGGCCACTACTCCACTTAGTCACCCCTGGGCAGGACTTAGTCACTCTCACTGGCCACATTGGTTCCTCATCTCTGTTGTAGCTTATATTTAGTTACTTCTGTTTTCTCCTCACGTGTTTGAGTTAAATCTTTGGACACATTACATTCATGTGGCCCTGCATCTCCCTGGTGTTGCATGTGTATGAACCAAGACCTTCGAGCCACACAGACGAGAGGGTCCTCAAACAGGGAGAATGAGAGAAGAACGGCCGAGGCCTGGTTATGCTCACAAATTCTCTTGGTACAGTAACAATGAGGGTTAGATTTTAAAGTGACACTCACCCCAGCGTGTTATACCTAATGATCACAGCAGTTTCCTTTCCTACCTTAGCTTTCTCTTGCTTTGCGATAAGTATGTCACCACTGACTCCTTCATTAAACTTAATTTAGACTAAAGGAGGAGTGGTCTGCTGGCCAGGGAGACCGTAGTGAATACAAAGCAGCCTTGCACTAAAATCCCCTGAGACCGCTGGAAAGTCAGTTCAGGTTCCCATCCAAGTGAAGTCCTTCTGCAATATACACACCCTAGTGCACAGCATGCTTCAGAAATGATCTGCTAATCACTTCTTAAAATACAGGCTCCTTGAATGGTGGCTGCTTCCAAATGTCTTCACTTCTACTGGGCTGGAGAAAAGCTTCTGCCTCCCAAAGGTTATATTCTGAATCCCTGGGGGCATGTGTGTGACCTCAGCTCTTAATGTATCAATCCCCTTTAAATTATATAAAGTCGTCACAATCAAGACTGTCACTGATATCTGCAGCCCTGCGTAGAGCCAAGTAAGAGGCCTCTTGGCATTACTTTCCGACTATGATGGCTTTATTTGCTGGCACACTGAGGTACAATTACCTGCTCTTTCATATAAACAGATCACGGGTCCCTGCTGAAATTGCTGTGATCATTAGGTATTACACGCTGGGGTGAGTATCACTTTAAAATCTAACACTCAAAACCACAAATATAACAGAAAGTGTGTGACACCGGACAGACATGAGAGGACATACCATGTTGTCTCCAGGATGCAATTTCACCTACATGTCCAAGCTGCCCCCATGCCTGTCCCTCTGAGCGGTGCCCAGAGGTCTGCGGAGCAAGGTTCCCCTTGCCCAGATAAGAGCTGTGCTTGTACGGTGAGATCTGGGACCTGCCATCTCCTGCAGCTGATGCTGGATGCTGAGGGAAGCAGGCTTCTTCTTTCACTAGCCCTGGGTTTCCTGGGGACATGGCCCTTCTGAGACCCTTGCTCCCTAGACAGCCTTGTGTAATTTCCCAGTCAAGTGGATAAACAAGGAGAAGCTCCTGCTGAGTTCCAGCTCAGTTCCAAGTCTTCAGTGACAAAACTCATGGGAAAGACACCACTGTCACATTCTCTGTGGAATGAGCTTTTTCAAAATTTTTTCAAAATTTTAAATTAGGGTAGGTTCCTATAATTTTGACCTAATGTTTCATGTAAGCCCAGTGGTCACACAACCTTGATGAACCTTCTATAGGCTGTGCAATTCTTGTTTTTGTTGAGTGGGATCTTGTTGTTCTATTATAATTACAAATGAGATTAAATGTTTATGCACCTGCAAGCAAATTAGCTCATCAGCCACACAAATTTGTGCCAGACATCTCTGTGTCTGTGAATACTCAGTTTATCTAGGCTAATGTTGTAGGACTTGGCCCAGGAGGTGACATTCGCTGACATTTTCAAAGATGAATTGGACAAGGGACGATCTTAAACTCATCTGTAACCTAGCAGGCAGGGCTTGAAACAAAAATCACGGATGAAGAGCTGTCTCATATATTTATTTTCTAATATTTTTAGTTAAAATAAACATATACATTTTAATTTAAAAGAAAGTATTAAAAGGTTTTATTGAGGGGGCTGGAGAGATGGCTCAGAGGTTAAGAGCACTGACTGCTCTTCCAGAGGTCCTGAGTTCAATTCCCAGCAACCACATGGTGGCTCACAGCCATCTATAATGAGATCTGGTGCCCTCTTCTGGCCAGCAAGCATACAGACAGCAGAACACTGTATACATAATAAATAAATAAATCTTAAAAAAAAAAAGTTTTATTGAGTCAAGGTCTCAGGCTGGTCCTGAGCTCCTGTTCCTCCTGCCTCCATGACCCTAGAGTTGAGATGACAGGCTTGTGCCACCATCCCCAGCTACTTTCTAAGATTTTAAAAATCACTCATTCATTCAACTAACAAATATGCATTACTGACTCTGTGGGGTCCTTTCAAGCATTCGGTACATCAGCACTGTGTTGTGTGGGCTGCCATTACTTGATTAGGGCTTCATTTAACAAATATTTTCAAAATAGTGTGACCTGTGTGTATAGCTTTCACAAAAATCGAGAGGAGGAAGTGGAATGTAGACAAGGGGAGGAAATCAAATGTAGACAAATCTGCATCTTTTGGAATACCCATGGTTCTGTGCTCCAAAGCCATGCAGACTTGGTCCTTGAGATTGCCTGTGTGTCTCCACAAACGCGGTTGACAGTTGGGTTATAGTATAACCTCCATCTGGGTTCTTTTTCTACTTTCACAGTTAATGTTTATCCTAGGGGCCTTAACAATTTTTTTGACGGAAAAATGTTAAACTCTTGTAATTATTAATTCCCACAGTATTGTGGGAATCATGATGACTGGCCTAGAAGCAACTGGGGCTCACGTAGTTGTTCATAGTTTGGGATAAATACCATCCAGATCTAAGATCAAGGACCCTGCCTGAAAAGCTGGTCATGTCCTCATTTTCCCTGCTAGCTGCAGAAACAAGCCGACAGAGCTTTGGTTCAGTTCAACGCCAGTTTAAGCAGAGGCTGGAGGGTCCTGGGGTTTCCAAAGCCCCAGCCCAGTCATGAGCCAGAGTCAGCCAATACACCTAGGACATGACAATGACCAGTTCCAGGTATCAGGCCTCCCAGGCAGAGATGTGACAGAGAGTGAGAATGTCAAGGAGCTGATGGCCAAGGTTCAGCCAGGCCACTACAGAGCTTTTCTTTCCTGAGATAAGACACACAGTCACACCTAAGAAGGAAAAGGATGGTTATGTGTGTGGGAAAACAGCTGTGAAGGCTGGAGATTACCCTCTCTCTCCCTCCCCCCCTCTCTCCCTCTCTCTCTCTTTCTATCTTTTTTAAACAGAGTCTAACTATGCATCCCAGACTGACAGGGAACTTGCTATGCAGACCAAGCTGCCCTCACACCCACAGAAGGAGATCTGCCTCCTTCTACTCCCACCTGCTGGGATTACAGTTGTATGCCACCACACCCAGCTATATATTTAAATTTATAAATGGCATCAGCAGTTGATGACGTTGGGTAAATATGTTTGGGTTTAAAGGGAGGGATGTTCTAAAACTCAGCCTTTCAGTTGTTCAGAAGACTACACTACATAAGCAACCATATAAGGAATAATGATTTGGCAGATGGGAGATATAGCCAGTTGTTTTCTAGAATGTAATTCTATGATCTCACAGACAAAAAGGTGCTTGCTTGTTTTACAAATTAGATGAGTACTGTTGACCAAATATTAATACAGCTTTGCCAGTTTGAGGACGGAGGAGGAGATATTTCTAAAAGTCAGATTAATTTCCTAAAAGCCCTGACTGTCTCAGAACCCATACCAACATTGTTATTTCTGACTTGGTCTGGGAAGTCCAGAATCAGATTGATTGTTGGGAGAATTATCTTCCAGTGTATTTGCCTGTTTTGTCTTTTCTCTAAGGAATTCAGGGGCAGCCCGATCTTGTTGCTGCACTGTGGGTGTATTTCTGTCTCCAACACTGCCTTGCATCTTCCAGAGTAATAGACGACACTGGAATTTTATCAGTATTTGTTTGTATTCCAGGGGCAGGCTAGGGCAAAAGCTCTGCTATCAATTTAGACCTGTTCACTGAAATCAAAAAAATGAATTAAACCACCGACTAAATTAAAACCAAAGAGCTGTAGAAGAAAAATGCCTAACCTAGGAGTCAACAGTTACTCCCTTCAAGACAGTCACGTCTTGAAATTAACAGATAATTTGCTATTGTTTTCATGAGCCAATTGGTACATAATTAGAAAGTCTAACTTTTGAATACCCCAGGTTGAATTCACAATATAGAAGAGAGAACTTCAGAACAATTAGACCCTGCAGACAATTGGATGTGTTCCCCAAAGGTCTGGTTTCCTTTTCTTCTCCCATGAGGAGCCAGGTCTGGGGAGCAGCTGCTGGTACAGGTTAGAATCCCCATCTCTATCCACAATACCTGTGTGCAAGCCGCAGAAGGAGGAGACAGGAAGGTTGGGTGACTCACCAGGGTCCTTGCAGGGCTTAGCAGAGCACTGGGTGCCAACCCAGGTTTACCTCAGCTTTGAAGCTGTCTTTCACTATGGAACTCTGAGGAACATTCTGGGAATCTCAGAGGCTGCAGTAGTGCAATCAAACTCACTCCACCAAGAACACAAATGCATGTCAGCTCTTCAGGAGATACCGGGACTGCCAAGCGGTCTGGAGCCAGTAAGAAACACTCAGAGACCAGACATCAGTCCCCAAATCAGAGTGGTGGATCAGGTGTATGGAGAGAGCCTCCTTCTTCACAGGGAGCTGGGGAGTTTGGGGGCACGACTCTTTGGGTTGGTGCTCCCTGTCATCGCGTTGTTCTCTGAAGATCTGCTTTCCAGACAAATTTCACAACCAAAAAATTCTGAAGAAATTTCATTTCTAAAAGCCAAAAAATAAATTTACATTGTACTCTGTGATCGTTTGTGGGCTGATTTTTGTCTTGTTTCTTTGGAGAATGTTGCGTCTTGTCAGAGACACCACATTCAAACATCCTCCAAGGTTTCTCCCGATTTCACTCTCCTAGCCCAAGTTGGGGAGGTGTTTTAGATGGAAGGACCCCCCCCCCGCCCCGTTTCTATAAAACAGAAAGGATGATGAAGGGCTCCTTATTTGGACTAGTTGGTGGAGGGGGCGGGGACAGACCACAGGAGGTCACTTTGTGAATGAGGGCTGAGGGTGTGAGTTAAGTGAGATTATTCAGTCACAAAAATGACAAATATCTGAGTCCCCTTTTGCAAAGTAATCTGTAGTCATCATAAGCACCGGAAGAATGGTAGGGTGGGGAGAGGAGTTTATTATTTAGTGGGCATGGAGCTACCTTCTGTTGGATAAGAGGGGAGAAGCTTTAGAGAAAACCAATACGTTATAAATATCTTCCATGGCATTGAACTATATACACTTACATTTTAAACTGTACACTTAAAATTCAAATTTTTTAAACATTAAAATTTAAGTACATTTAAAGTTATAAATTTTGTAACATATGTCTGTCACAATTTTTAAAATTAGGAGAAAAATGTAGGACACAATTGCTTAAATGCAAACAAACTGAAGTCCTAAAAATAGAACACGCAGGAAAGAATTTGCTGAGTCAGTGGCTGTTGCAGAGTTCTGTGGTTGAGAGATGGGAGAAGAGGGAGAGGAAGAAAAAGGGAGAGGGGGGAGAGAGAGGCAGGAGCAAGGGAGGGAGGAAAAGAGGGGGAGATGGAGGTGGAGAAAGAGAGGGAGGAGGAGGGAGAGGCAGAGGGAGAAAGGCACACAGACTAGGGGACTGGGTTGAGCCCTGGGCTGTGGCTCCCTCTAGTGGTACAAAGTTGAAACCAAGGCGCACTGGGGACATGGCACATTGCAAAGAACCCAATGTTCTGAAGCAGTGGAAACCAGACCAAGGACCCAAAGAGTGAAGAAGATACTTGGGGTACAGATATCACTGAACTGATTCAACATCAGAGAAGACAGAACCCAGGTGGAGAAGAGGAGTCAAGAGAAAGGCAGGCTGAATTAAGACTTGGATCCACCCAGGCAGCCTGACTATGATTCAGCTTGTGGGCTGCAAGGAGGGCAGAGTGGCTCTCTAGGCACAGCTGGGCTGCATGGGAGCAGGTACTCCCTCAGAAAGAAAAGACCCCGAGAAAGTGCAAATTCCAAGTAGATCCTCTCTTCCCCAGAGAGCTAGAAAGCGCCGGGGAAGCGTTCTCACACATCGCTCCTATGTTACAATTCATCTCATTTCTGTATCCATAATGGAATTTGGTGTCGTTTCGGGAACACTGGGCCAGTGAGGTGGCTCAGTAGCTAAAGGTGCTTGCTGTCAAGCCCGATAACCTGGGTTTGAGCCCCTAAACGCACATGGTGGAAAGACTCTTACAAGTTGTCCTCTGACCTCTGTATGATATGTGTGCCGTGGTACACATATGTCTACACACACACACACACACACACACACACACACACACACACACGCACACACGCACAATATAGCTTACATTTTGTTTTTAAAAGAATAATGTAATGCTATAGTCCTCGGTCCTAGCTACAAATGATGGAGGGAAACCAGTTTACGTGTAGTAACTGTAAAACAGCAGAGTTCACCTGCCCCAATGCCCACCCTCACCGCCACCCAAAGCATATCGTCCCTTAGCCTACTAGGTATGGAAGCCTGGCTTCAGGTGAAGCCCCAGAGCAACTGGTACCCTATTTGGCCGATTAGGACGATGTGCAGCATCTGTCTGAGCAATGGAGACACAAGAACATCTGTGAGCCCTATAGAAAGGCACAGATTGAACTCTCCCTGGTAGAGTATCTGTGATAGACTCTTAATTCTGTTGGTCCACTTTCTTATTTAGTCTGCTGGTATTGGAAGAGTAGCTATAAGTTTCCATCATTTGGTAATGTTCCAGGGGTTAAAGAAGTTGGCAAGAAACCTCCCAGTACTAATACAGCTATATTATGATCTGTCCTTCTCTTTGTATTCCAACTTCTATTATTTTTCTTCAATCACATATAATTACTATATGGTAACCTCTTTAAAGCATAGTGGTACCTATTTAATACAGAGAGAGAGAGAGAGAGAGAGAGAGAGAGAGAGAGAGAGAGAGAGA